TATTTAGCGAATATAGGGAGGACCCAATCTTAGGAGTTCCTATTCATTCTATGGAAAAGAAATTTAAAAAATATTGGTCTAAGTTGCCTTTGTTATATGGTTTAGGTACAATTTTTGATCCTAGATTAAAATTAGACGGATTAGAAAGTGGTTTATAAAACTTAGGTGAATTTTTAGGCATCACTTGTATGGACTAATTTTCAATAATAAATGCGAAAATATATGAGATCTATAGTAAATATGAGATTAGGTTTAGAAGCACAAACTCTAGAGTATAGGAACCGCAACAACAATATGAAAACCCGCATTCATTCTTAAATGTTTTCGGGTTAAAGAAGAAGAAGAAGACAACTCAAACAGAAGCTGGGAGTGGAAGTGGATCTTCATCAACAAGTGGCAGTGGTGGCGGCAGCTTCAACGAGCTTATGGTGTACCTCAGTAAATGTTTAGTAGTCGACAGTACTAGAGAATCATTTGACTTAGTTCAATGGTGGAGGGCACAGGCATTAACTTGGCCAATCCTAACTCGATTGGCAATGGATAAATTTCAATCCCAGTGTCCACTATTTCATCTGAACAAGCCTTTAGTACTACAGGAAGAATACTTGAGGAACGCCGGAATGCATTGTAAAGGAACATTGTTGAAGCCTTAGTCTGCATTAAGGATTGGGATCGGGCCGATCAACGTCTACATGATACAATTTCACCGGCAAGCCAAGAATGGATTGAGAATTTAATCGATTAACATTTAATTTTGAAGACGATCCTTCAGCTTCAAATTAAATTGTAAATTTGTAATTTGTAAATATGTATTTACTTTTGACATTGTATTTGTAATTGTATAACTTTGTAAGTTTGTAAAATTTGTAATTCATCACAAAATGATTGCATTCTTTTTTCCTTGCCAAGTTTTTATCCTAATTGAGTTTTTCTTGGTAAGATTTTTAACGAGGCAATCATGAATTACAAATTAAAAAATTAATAAAGAAATAATTTTTTTATATAGTTCGTGTGTTCATTTCAAATTTCAAATTATAATATATATATATATATATCAAAATTTTAACACAAAATAACTTAATATTAAAAAAAAATTTCAAAAATTCGGGCTACTGAGGCAGGCTCGGGCTGCCCGGCCGGCTCAGACGGCCTAATACAAGCCCGCGGCCCGTTCAAGGTAATTTTCAGACTCGGGCGGGCGGCCTGAATTTTTCGGGCTGGTCGAGTTCGGACTCGGGTAAAAACTCGATATTTTCGGGCGACCCATCTAAAGTTCCAGCACTATTTGCATATACATGTACTTAAGTCAATTTAGAAACTTGAATTACGAGGCCTTGGCTCAAATGAGACCTTAGGCAACTGCCTAAGTTGCCTTACGGTAGAATTTTCGATTAATAAAAGTTTGTTTTTTAGTGCCCCATTCGAAATTAGTTTTTGGTTCCGTTGTATGAAACTATGAATTTAATAAGGGCTTCCACTTTGAACCTTAAAACTAGTAATACACATTTTTCTTATTAATTGATTTAATTAATGGGACATATTCCTTTTCGTTTCAGTTGTGTTCTTAATAGATTGTCAAGCTACCTGAAGGTGAAGACATCACTAATTTCTTTTTCTTTTTATTTTTTATTTTTTAAAAGTAATCCAATCCAATAAACATGTAAGTGTAAATTTTTTAAATAAATTTAAATCTTGTTCATTTAACCGATTAAAGTTTAAAATTTAAGTTTTATTATAGTAAAAAGCTCTTAAAAATAGTCACATTTAATTTTTTACTATAATAAAAAACTCATATAAAATTACATTTCAACTCAAATTAAAAACTCAAATCAGCGAATTAAACATGTCTTTAAATGTGTCTCCTTTCTCTGGTTACTTCCTTTTAACTTGGCGTTGAAGTAACATAAGATACTTGCAACGGCTATTTGTATGGTGCGGGAAGAAGCACAGCGCAAAACCCTTTATATAGGGTGAGTACAGTAGTATCTAAGACAAGACCCACAAACCAAACAAAATTTGTAGGTAAGAAAATCACTCTCCATACCCACAAAAATGCCTGTGCTCCAAGACTCATCGTCGTTTTCCCCAAAGGTGATCGCTCAACGGCCTTCTCTTTCCGATTCCAAATTCTCCTTTCTTCCGCCGTCTTTTCCTCAGTCGATTCGAAGCCGACGTCGTCGTTTTAGTCTGGGGTCCACTTCGACATCCGTATCATCCACTCCCATCGTCGCTGTCGCGTCGCTCAAGGTAATTCTTCCTTTCCTCGCCAAGTGTTCGACGAAATGCTTGTGTGATATTCTTATATCATTTCGCGTTGTTTGAATTTGATTCAGGAAAATCTGGGTAGTCTCACAAAGACTTGGAGTGATTTCACCAGCCTAAACTATTGGGTTGTTCGCGATTACTATCGGCTCGTGAAGTCTGTCAATGCTCTGGAGCCGCAAATACAGATACTCTCCGATGAGCAGGTCTTGTTTGCAAACTTTTTCATACACATATCTGTATAAATATATGTATATATTTTGATAATTTTGGGTAAAGGGTTTTCTTTTTTGTCTTTAGCTTAGGGCTAAAACTGCGGAGTTCAGGCAAAGGCTGCGAGAGGGGCAAACGTTGGCAGATATTCAAGCTGGTTGGATCAAATCTGTCTACTCATTTTCTTTTGATTTAGAAATTTTATGTTGTGAAAGCGGAATTCTAAATGGTTTTGAATGTTTATAGAAGCATTTGCCGTTGTTCGTGAAGCTGCAAAGAGGAAGCTCGGGATGCGGCATTTTGATGTGCAGGTATCTTTGTCTCTTACACGCACACGTTTGCTGTTGCTTCGTTATGCAATTACATTTTCTGGGAATTTGAATTCCAGATTATCGGCGGGGCTGTCCTTCACGACGGCTCCATTGCGGAGATGAAAACTGGAGAGGGGAAAACTTTGGTCTCTACATTGGCGGCGTATCTTAATGCCTTGACTGGTGAAGGTGTTCATGGTATGTTTTGTATGTTAGTCCATTGACATATTAAGCTCTTTACTTCTTTCATTGTTAGTTCTTTCGAGACTGATCTGATTTTAATGTTTCATGGCTCCTTTCCTGTCCTCAATCTACAGTGGTAACTGTGAATGATTATCTAGCTCAGAGAGATGCTGAATGGATGGGTCGTGTTCATCGCTTATTGGGTCTTTCTGTGGGTCTTATTCAGGTACATTTTGTATTTTTCTACTTATTTAGGGGTGTGTTTTACTGGGACAAGTTAGCCTCTGGTTGACGCAAAGCCCTAAAACTTTTGATGCAAGGTAGAACTATTCTAATCACTATTTATATGCCATTAAAACTAAAATTTTGATTTTTTCCTTGCAAAATAGAGGGGGATGACATCAGAAGAGAGGAGATCAAATTATAATTGCGACATAACATACACAAATAATTCAGTATGTCACTTTTTAGTTTCTTGTAGTACCTTAATGTTTGTTTTAGGTGTTGTCGTGTTGGTTACATTACACTGGTGGTATATTTTGAGGTTATCAATCTAAATATTCTCAGGAACTTGGTTTCGATTACCTACGAGACAATCTTGCTGGAAACAACGGACAGCTTGTAATGAGATGGTATCTCTAATGTGTTTATAGTTCAAAGATTCCGTATTAATTGCTTTTTTGGGAATTAGATGCATATTGTGAATGAACAGGCCAAAGCCGTTTCATTTTGCAATAGTCGATGAAGTTGATTCAGTCCTCATTGATGATGGGAGAAATCCCTTGTTAATAAGTGGTGAGGTAAATTGCAACTCTATGAAGTATCACTAATCACTATTATGAAAGGTAGTAGTAGAATTCTCAGTAGTCTATTGTTTCTCCTCTCTATCTCAGGCTAGTAAAGATGCTGCTCGCTACCCAGTCGCTGCTAAAGTGGCTGAGCTTCTTGTACGGGGTCTTGTAAGTCCATTCTCTTGCCTTTCCTCAGCTCTTTAGCTTTCTCTAGCTCTTTTTCTTTAATAATAAAATTCATCAAGTGGCATAGGTCTAGACTATGTTATAATGGTGAGAATAAATCTTCTACTTTAAACAGCATTATAATGTGGAACTCAAAGATAATTCAGTGGAGCTGACTGAAGAAGGAATAGAGCTTGCTGAGATGGCGCTCGAAACGCATGACTTGTGGGATGAAAGTGACCCTTGGGCTAGGTGAAGATAGACTGTTGTTTTGTTTTGGGATATAGTTGTTACAGTTGGCAAATAAGAAGAAAACCATTGACATCCTAGGATTTTACATTCATTTTTGTTATTCTCCATTATTTGTATGTTATTTATGTGTTGTTTGCTTGTATGTGTAATTGAGACTGTCAGATGTTGGTTTGAGAGGTTGAGATGATCTTTTCCTAGTCAATGAGCATATTTATTGCTTTCGTTTTGAGCTTTTATTTAGTCATGGAGTTTGAAATATGTAGATTTGTGATGAATGCATTGAAGGCTAAGGAGTTCTACCGGCGAGATGTGCAATACATTGTTAAAAATGGGCAGGCTCTCATAATTAATGAGGTAAAACAAGAATTTGCATTTTGTATCTTAAATTGTCTGACTCCTTTTTCATTTAGTATTTCCAGTTTTTTCCGTAATTGGAAGTGCGACTCTTGTTAATACTTCATGGTACAAAGTCACATATCTCTGTCAAACTCAGTTTTGTTAGACAATCTTAACTGCACTGCCTTTGCCAAAAATCCTTCAGTTAGTATATTCTGAATTATTTGCACAACAGAGAAGGCCAAGTTTTTATTCCACTTTCTTGAGCTTTGCTAGAGGCGTCAAAACTTTAAGCCAACTGTAAATTTGCTTGGACCTTATCACGTGGGTTTCTTAGATTGATGACAAGAGGGATAGATAGAAAGATCTGGGCTGATTATTGATGCTATGTTCACGTGAAAGTACATTAGAGGTCTCTGATTGAAGTATAAGTAAGATTTGAGAAATATTTGCAGCTGACAGGCAGAGTTGAAGAGAAAAGAAGATGGTCTGATGGGATTCATCAGGCTGTAGAAGCTAAAGAAGGTCTCAAAATTCAGGTATGTTTTATTCTTATTTTTTAAGTCTCCCCTGCACTTTTTCCATTCTTTGAAATATATTCTTATCCGGTTCCGAGTTTGAATATATATATATTTTGTTCTTAGGCTGATTCAGTTGTTGTGGCGCAAATCACTTATCAATCACTATTCAAGCTCTATCCGAAGCTTTCAGGGATGACTGGGACTGCCAAAACTGAAGTACAGATGTTTATAAACATTCTAATATTTTATTTAAAATCCTTTTTAGTGGTAATTTTCTTTGTTATTACTTAAAAGACATATATCCGTTTTTGATATCCTAAATTGTTATTTCAGGAAAAGGAATTTCTGAAAATGTTTCAGATACCAGTTATTGAAGTGCCCACTAATCTGCCAAACATTCGAAAGGATTTACCTATCCAAGCATTTGCTGTAGGCTATCCAACACACTTACGGCTTTTTATTTGAAACTTTACCTTTCACCTAGTCTTAACATTCAACTTGACTTAATGTTGAGTTTTGCAATATTTTAGACTGCTCGAGGGAAATGGGAATATGTTCGTCAAGAAGTTGAAGACATGTTTAGACAGGGTCGTCCTGTTTTAGTTGGGACCACAAGGTAACTTTGGTTTTTCTCATTTCTGGACAAAGGATTCATGGGATTAGTCTTGGACTGCTGTCATATTGTAGGATTCTCGTGCATGTGGGATGTTTATGCAAGCTTTCTAACCTCCAGATGCACGCACAATATGTCACTCTGTGCTTGCGTACATGCAGATTCAGTCAATGGAGTTTATGTCTTGTTACACGATGTAACATTGTTAATAAACTATTCAGCCCGCAGATGCCCAATGTTATTTCTGTTCTTGCCCATTGTCAGCCTTTCAGCTCACTCCCCATGATTAGGTAGTGGAGGGAAATGTTGAGAGGTAAAGCGGTAATAAAAGCAATGTTGCATGTAACACTAAGGCCGGTCAAGAAAATTTTTTGGATAATAGGATGTGACTACCCAATTAAATAAGATAGTTATAACTTGTATACTGTCAAGAAACTTTATTGGACAATAGGATGTGACTACCCAATTAAATAAGATAGTTATAACTTGTATACTTAATATGTTCATATTGCTAAAGTAATTATGGCCCATTTTGAAATTTTCTACCTTGTCCTATCGCTTACCTGATTATCATCTTCATCCTCATGCTGCAGTGTTGAGAATTCTGAATACTTGTCTGATCTGCTAAAGGAACGGAATATCCCCCATAATGTTCTAAATGCAAGATCAAAGGTAATTAACCGCAAGATTTTATCTGAAGGCACAATCTATATTTTGCTCATTTGATAGCTATATATAAAAATGTTTTTGCAGTGGTGTTTTTCTAATCCTTTTCTTTTGTTGGTGAAAAAAAATAGTATGCTGCAAGAGAGGCTGACATTGTTGCCCAAGCAGGACGAAAATATGCCATCACTATTTCTACAAATATGGCTGGCAGAGGCACTGACATAATCCTAGGAGGCAATCCAAAGGTAGACTGCTCTTTCATGAATGCCCTTGCTTTATGTCTGTCAATTAATGAAATTTGGAGATGTACCATCTTCATGCATATGCATCTCCCGTTCTACAATTTAATATTCTACCTGGAATCTCTGAGGTTGAGTAGAAAGGACCGTAACACATTTTCTGGTAATAACAAGTGTAGATGCTTGCTAAAGAGATTATTGAGGACAGCTTGCTTTCGTTTCTCACAAAAGAAGCTCCTAATATTGAAGTTGATGGAGAGGGAGGAACTCAAAAGGTAATACTGTTGTTTTATAGACATCTAATTACTAGACTTTGTTTCTAATTAATCTTTTGGTGTAGGTCTTGTCCAAGATAAAGGTTGGACCCTCATCATTAGCTTTGCTGGCTAAGACAGCCCTAATGGGTTTGTGATCCTCCTCTCGCAATCTTTTACTTTAGGCTCATGTTATGTAATGTTATATTATTTTATGTTAGTCATAAGTAAGATCTTGTTACATTCTGTTACTTGATATATGAATTTCCAGCTAAATATGTATGCAAAGGTGAAGGTAAGAGCTGGACACATAAGGAGGCGAAATCAATGATATCAGAGTCTGTGGAAATGAGTCAGTCAGTTGATTCAGAAGAGCTAGAGAAGTTGGCCAATGAACAGTCAGAGATGTACCCTCTTGGCCCGACCATTGCCCTTGCTTACCTATCAGTTCTCAAAGATTGCGAGATCCACTGTTTCGAAGAAGGGTCTGAAGTGAAAAAGCTTGGCGGTCTTCATGTGATTGGGACATCCTTGCACGAGTCCCGGAGAATAGATAACCAGGTCAGTTATTTTTGCATTCAGTTTTTGGGTGAACAAAGATTGCATGACCAAAAACATTATTTGGGTATTGTGCATTTGAGAGAATTTTTCCGGAAAACGCTGTGATTCAGCGGGGCTTGTTAACTATTGCATCATTTACACTTGCGCAATAATCATTTTTTCTCTTTTCCTTTCTATCATCGATCTATTGTGAAGATATTTCGCAATAATCATTTTTTCTCTTTTCCTTTCTACCATCTATCTAATGTGAAGATAAGTCATACGACTCCTTTATTTTTCTCTTACATGAAGAAATGGTTGAGCATTATGTTCTTTTGTGAAATTACACTACTCCAAAGTCAATAACTTTAGCTGCAACTTTTGAAAAGGTTACCCAAAATCTGTCAATATGGTCTTTGTTCTATTCTTTCACTGTAAGTGTAGCTATATGATCTTGATCATATTTATTTCATCACGTCTGTGTGTGCTTGTGCTTCGTAGTATTGGAGTTGGATTTTGAAGATAATTCTCATAGATAAAACATCCTCTCTTTTGTAGCTCCGTGGCAGAGCAGGACGGCAAGGCGATCCTGGTTCAACTCGGTTTATGGTGAGGTAATCTCAATAATATGCCTTTTCACCACCAAGAGAACATGTGCATGGTGCTAGAGACATGCTACTCGTGACTACGGATCTCCAGTACTAACTTACTAATTTATGCTGAAGTCTTCCATTATAACACCCAACTAATTTTATCAGTTTCTTGACTTGGATTTATGCCGAAGACTTTTAGCTTTCTTCATGATTAGATGCCTTTATCACTTGAGGTATAAAAAGTGAGATTTTGAGTTCCAGTCAGGTCGGGTATCAGTATGTTTAAATAGTTCAGGGTCTTATCTTGCTATTCGATGTGATTGTTTTTGTTATTCATGTTGGCTGCTTGAATTGGTTGAGATTAGGGGATTGTTAAGGATCTACTTCCTAATTCTTATGCATTGACATAACAGCTTGCAGGATGAGATGTTTCGGAAGTTTAATTTCGACACTGAGTGGGCTGTTAGACTTATTTCAAGAATTACAAATGACGAGGATCTCCCAATTGAAGGTGGTGTAATATTAAAACAGGTGAATGTTAGCCCATGGTCTTGTCATATCCTTTTTTTACATTTTCTACACATCTGGCATGCTTCTTCTGTTCTTAATATTTGTTTGTTTTGTAGCTTTTAGCGCTGCAGATTAACGCAGAGAAATACTTCTTTGGTATAAGAAAGAGCTTGGTTGAGTTCGATGAAGTTTTAGAGGTATGTTTTTAGAAAATAAATGTGCTATTCGAAGAGCTAATTCTAGTCACTGGTTCATCCTATGTACTTTAATGAGGTACTTACCACAAACTTTTCCCATACGTAGGAAAAAAAAAATGGAAATGTTTTTGTACGGTATTAAGTAGGAATCATATCACTTGTTATCTTTTAAAATTTAACACTAGTGTGATAATTGATCTTATCCGCAATTCTCATGGATGTATAAAATATAATATATATTATGCTACCTATCAGATTTTGTACGGTCAAACTTACAAAAAGTCTCCAATAGTTACATTAGTTGGTATTTTTTTTTTTCTTTACCAGGTGCAGAGAAAGCATGTCTATAATCTTAGGCAATCAATTTTAACGGGTGATAACGCAAGTTGTTCACAGCACATATTCCGGTGAGTGCCCTTCTAAATCTTAATGACTTATGTTACTACCTAGCCAAATATACCATCTAGAATTGATAGGTTTTTAAAATGTTAGTAGCTGACAACTAGTTTGGAAATGCATATCTTACTCACACTTTGCAAAAAGACTAAAGTTCAGTCATGTTGTGTTTCTTTTTTTCTTTTTTTTGAGCACACGTTATGGGGACAAACATATAGGGAAAGTGAGGCGATAAATAGAGTATCATCTTAGGAGTGCTTGAAGTTTAAAAGAAGATACAGATACTGAAAAGGAAATGAATGGCAATTACATTGTTCTAATATAATTCACTTAAAGAGTTATATATGATTAGCATGTATCGAAGTTTCAACTGTTCCACTGTTGATGTTGTTTTGTAAATGCACTCAAAGAAAGTTGTTTGTAGGTACATGCAAGCAGTGGTAGATGAAATCGTCTTCGCAAATATTGATCCGCTGCAGGTTAGTATGATATTTTCTTACCAATCTTTTACTCTTCTTCTCAGAATTAATCTCACCCTTTGTATACTGATGATTGATAGCATCCCACAAACTGGAGTTTGGGAAAGCTTTTGAAGGAGTTCTCCCTAATTGGAGGAAAGCTACTGGATGGTGAGTTTATATAAGATTAACTTTCGGTCTCTCTCTATTCCTGTACCTCCAGTCTTTCTGTTACACCGTCATGAATTCTTTTTCTGCTGAAAAGTACTTGAATTCTGAAATGGAACTTTTGCAGGCTCATTCGCAGGAGTCACCGAGGAAACTTTATTGAAATCTTTAGAACAAACACATGAACTGAGTTCTATGGATACGAGTGACTTTCATCTTCCAGACTTACCAACTCCTCCAAATGCCTTTAGAGGAATCCACAAGAAGACTTCTTCATTGAAACGTTGGCTTTCCATATGCTCTGATGATTCTACAACGTGAGTAGAGTTTAGCGCTAGTATATGCATTAGAAAATTTTATTCTGTGTTTCAGTTTGCTATGATTTCGTCGAGCAATTTGACTCATCGGCATGTCCAATATAGGAACGGTGCGTACCGAGCTACCGGTAATCTCCTCCGCAAGTATCTTGGTGATTTTCTAATAGCCTCATATTTGGATGTTGTACAAGAATCTGGTTATGACGATTCATATGTGGCAGAGGTTGAGGTAAGATTCTGGGTTATGACCAGTAATCTTCTCATTTTTGGTCTGTTTTTTCTCCTTTCTTTTTCCCCCTTGTTTCTTACCGAAACATTTTGTTTTAATAATACAGAAAGCTGTTCTCGTGAAGACCCTAGATTGTTTCTGGAGGGATCATCTGATAAACATGAACAGGCTGAACTCAGCGGTATACTAAAAACCTTTTTATTTATTTATTTTTTGTTTAGATTCATCTGGCATTTTAGCTTCTGCATTCTTACATGGAATAACTGGCAGGTGAATGTAAGGAGTTTTGGGCATAGGAATCCCCTCGAAGAGTACAAAATCGACGGCTGTCGTTTTTTCATATCGATGCTTAGCACGACTCGGAGGCTAACTATAGAATCTCTCTTGCAATATTGGTCATCGCCCATGGAGTCCCAAGAAATATTTGTATCATAAGTTCGTAATCCAGAATCATTGTCACATCAAAATGTAAATATACCCAACCCAATTCTTCCATTATTAATCTTAAAATTAGGTTTTGGGACATTAGTATCTTATACAGGTAACTCCTGACTAGAAAATTCAAATTAATTAAAAGTTGGGCGGTTGCTTCATTAAGGTCTGCAACTTATAGGCCAACCCAAACATATGGGTCGATATTGTATCAAATGGCAATTACCCAATAATGGAAATTATAGTAGATAGGATATTTTTGAAAATATTTATGGTAAATAACATGTTTTAATGTGATGTTGGATATTGAATGTGGATCAATGCCATAAATGGCTCCTAAACCGAAGCTCAACTAAGCAAAAATGGTGTTTCAGTAGTTTATGGATGAATCTTGGCTATGCCGAATCTTGATGTGTCAATTTTTCATTTATCATTTTTAAATTGTTTAAAAATTAAAAGTTACTTTTCACAAGTTCCAAACTTAAAATTTACGATAGGAACATATATAACATTTGGGACAAATACGGATTTGTCCCGGGTTCTGAATTATGATTCTTGATTCTTTACAGTGTTTTTCTCTCATAAAAATTTAAATTTTAAAAATTAGAATTATGAATTATGGTTCTGAAGTCATAAACCAAACGTTCAAATAATATTGTGTATTGAAGTACAAAATAGAACAAAACATCAAACATATTATTTCAATACTACATTTGCGGAGAAGATGGTCTTATATAGCCATTTGTTTTCCCCTTCCTATCAAACACGACCTTAAGCTGACCTTTTTAGATTTTATTTTTAGGGAAATAGTAGGAAATATGCCAATATGAAAAGCTTAAGAAAGTATATAGGCCATTTTTTAGTTATAGAAATTAATAGGCCATAACTTGTCAAGTTATGGTTCATAACCAGATAATTTATGGACAAACTTGTCAAGTTATGGTTCATAACTAGATAAGTTATAAACAAACTTGTTAAGTTATGGTTCATAACTAGATAAGTTATGGACAATAACTTGTCAAGTTATGGTTTATAACCAGACAAGTTATGGATGAAAACAGTAATTTGGCCTATTTATTAATTTATGTAAACTATTGGCCTATTAATTTTAATTCATCTCAAGTCTTAGCCTATTTCTCTCTTTCTCCCTTATTTTTATTATGTGTCAAACGAAGTAACAAAAATATGAGGAACGAACTGATTAAGACTTAAATATAATCTTTGTCGACTATTTTACTTTTTTTAAAAATAAAAAAAAATCCCCATCGTGATTCATAGTGGATGTATTTTAATAAATATGATGTAAGTTTAATAGTATAATGAGGATGACATTGAAAAGGACAGAGGATAAAGATAACAAGAACAAAGTGGACCATTCTGAAAATAAGTTGGTATAGCAAAAGAGAACATATAATTTGTGATCACAATTCGTTAGAGTCTCGATTACAATTATAGATTTTTTGGAGTAATATAGAGCTAATGAACCATATCAAAATAATAATTACTTCCGAATCTTATAGATAAGATGGGCATATTAGCTTCCAAAACTCCAATCAAATGGAATTTCAGGAAAAGTAAATTGTTGCTTCACGATTGATGCTTCTTATATACATGATAGTGACCAAGAATTTGCTTTGCGTATTCCATGTTATATATCAAATAAGACAACCAAATAAAAACAAGCAGAAACTAATTTAAATTTCAGTTGACTTGATTATGTATTAATTAATCAATTTGATACATAAATCAAGATAATTAAGCGCGAGAAGACTACTGTTCTAAATGAAAGTCAAAATTACTGCCTTTTCTTTTTTCCCCCCTCTCGTGTATGAACATTATACAATGTATATATTAATCATGATTAGTTGTGTGTCCCCGTCTGGCTTACAAGAATATATGAGAATGAAAGCAAAGTTATTAGCATTATTTATAAAATAAACCAAATTGGGAGTGGACTTTTCTGCACTTTGGTATGCTCCAGAGCTACGTAATGAAATTTGTTTCTACTTTCTGAAATACTTCAAGAAAAAAATTCATTAATTGGCCTCTTATCTAGCCCTGTTTTTTAGTGAATACATAAGTGGGAAAATAATTTTCTTTATTACATGAAAGTTATCCTAATAATTATATAGAAAAATAAGGTTAAGCTCTTTTTTTAGCACTAATCATAAGATTGTTTTATAGACAGTATTGGTTTTGATTGTTTTACTTTATGTCGATACCAACAATTAACTTAAAGAACTATTATTGTTATGAGTAATTATAGAATGCATTATATCATGATTGTTAATAATTATTAGTTAATAGATGAGACCGACGACGACGTAGTGAATACACAAAATAAAAGTTTTTAAAAGTTTTTTGGTTAGTGCAATAAAAATGATTATTAAAAGTGCATGGAATATTGTTAATTAAAAGTGTAAAAAATGTACATTGAAATTGCAAAACCCTAATGTGGTTGCTGAACCGTTACGAAACCCTAATACGGTTAAGTAGTTAGTTATATTGAAACTTAAACCGATGTCTGATCTAGTTATTAATCAAAGATTGAAATGATCAAAAGTACCACTTTGCACTAAATAATCACATTGGCTGACACAGATTGGGCAACATTATATAAATATGAATTTCATTTCTTGAGAAAACAATGGTTTTTATAATTTCCAAGCAAGAATACACCATATTTTATTGATTGCTTGAAAGATCATTAAACATTAATAATTAATTAATAATTAGTTCATGGTAAGCCGTTTACGTATATATCTGAAAAAGGAGTGACTGCCGACCACATGCCATCCATATATATGCCTATGAGGCTATGTTATGCATGACTTTGTGGGCTATACATAATACATGATATATATATTGCTCATTATAAAACAAATAATTATTTTTGTATTTGACTAATTTAATTTAGTAATATATTTTATGCCTTGAAAATAATTTAGTAATATTTTGTGAAGAGGGTGATGAAGCTAGAAGATAATGAAAGACAAGGACCAAAAACCAAATCTATGTACAGGCAACCTAGCCTTGTTTTTGTCATCCTTATGGATGCCTTGTGAGAGACACCATTACTCAGCACCATGTGTGTTAGAGAGAGAAAGTGTGAGAGGAGAGAGAGAGAGAGAGAGAGAGTACTTCTTGAGAGGGAAGGAAGGGAATCATCATCAATCAAGCCAAATTAAAATCAGTACTATATGCATGAATGGTCTTATATTTTGCTTCTCCCAATGCATACTTGTTAGCTAGGTTAGCTATTTTTCAAGGACAATGTCTTGGGGGAATGTATTTATAAGAGTGTACTCCTTTATTTTTATTGGCTGCATTCTCTACAATGATACAAAATAATACATATAATGGGGTATCTTTTTTACTTGGGAAAAACACTTGGCCACAAGGAAAGGAGAGTCACATACTTTCTCTAGATCTCTCTCTTATTCTTTCGGTCATGAATATTAAGGCCTGAAATATACAAGAAAAGAAAATAATGTTATCTTCAGAAAGAATATCAAAAAAAAAAAAAAAAAGAAGTATTAGTAATTAATAACAACGGCAAGGAGATCTTTGTGTCTCTTTTTCGGCCGTTGTGACTTGTGAATTTATAATATGCATCAAAATCTTGTCAATCTAGCTATTATGTACTGGGTTTTCCAAATAATTAGTTGCTATATTATTGTCTTTTATCATCATCGTAAACATATAGATTCAAACTAATTGTACAACTTCATGAGCACACATATATAGCATTTGGAGTAATATCGTTATTTTTTAATTAAGCTATAGTATTAACAACTGACAATTAATTTGTCACATTAATATGGTAAACAAAATTAACTTCTGAATCAATTAATATCACAGCAAAACGCACTCAAATATACTGATGATCATTATGATCAGCGAATTCCTATTTTTTTAATAAAATTATATATATATATATATATTTTACGTATGATCTCTCTGAGCTGTTATATTTATATATTGATGTATACGTGATGGTTGCCCACTAAAGTTAGAAAATCTTATAATTTAACGAGCATCACTGAAAGCATGCAACTGTGTAAAAGTAGACTTTTGGAAACGATTGCTCTTTATCAATTTTATAAGCTTATCTATAATGAGGATTGACTTAATATATAACTAAGCTGGCGTTTTGACGTGCATATATATATATATATGTATATATATATATATTGTATACGTAAATTTCCACCTTTTAGAGTTAAAATATCGTATGAGCTCAACTATTATATGGTAAATTTCTGGAATATTCATACATCTTGCGTAATTTTCAGTGAAAAAATGAATCGTATTTTACTTGTTAAACTGAAAAAGAAAATGAATCGTATTTAACTAGTCAAAAACCATAATCTAGGGGGGGATATCTGCAAAACTTTTAGGTTTTAACGCTAGCTAGCTAGCTATTCATGGATTTGGAAACAAGCATATATTCTTCAAAAGTTAAATTAAGATTACGTTTGTCCTGGGGATACCCCCCCATGTCCGTAATTATATCACATTGCATGCATTTGGACCTAAACTTGACTTTTTCTTCTGTACATAAGCAAACGGCCCCCAAAGAAAGGAAAAAAAAAAAAAAAAACGCTGATCAAAAGGCCAATTCATGGCCGAGCCAAAGATGATCAAATAGTTAATATATTAGAACTTGAAATTTCCGTCTTGTTAGAGTCGTTTTTTTGTTTTGTATGTTGTGGTTTTATTTCTGTAATAATGAGGATTTTTTTTTTTTTTTTTGTGGTTTAGTATGTGCGTCTGATTTGTCAGAGTTGTTTATTTGAGGTATGGGGTGACATTTGTAGTTTGGGTCTCTTAATCTCGATGATCGGAATTTCTCATCGATGATCGGAATTTCTCATCGATCATAGAGGTATTGTTAAAAGAGTTATATGCACGATTGTTGGTGCACCGTTTTTTTAATTTTCTGTTGTTGAAATGATCCGGTGCATATTTAATCTTGTTGTGCTTTTTATTAGAATTTACTGGTGGAATCGATTTATGGTTGGGATTTGACTTCCTTATACAACGAC